CATTTTACTCTAAGAATTCCCCGGTGGCGTTTAATCCAACTCGGTGACACAGAGGCAAAGTTCTCACAAAGTAAAGTCGGGTCTGATCTACAAAGTCTAGTTAAACTAGAACTGTAACATTTGCAAAGCAAATGCATAATGTTTACCTTCGCACATGGTCTGCTCTGTTAATTCTTACTCAAACACATTCACATATATGGTGTCAGGAGTCTAAATCACTCCTACTATAAAATTGCAACATGATGTAACCCAACACCAGTTACCATGGTGAGAGACGTCAACAAATCAGGTCATTGGCCAGGTCAGAGGTCAGTGTTTGGAACGGAAGAAGAAGAGGAAACGTAGCAAAAACAATATATCTTCCTTCGGTAAACATAAAAAGTAGGCATTGGAAGCGGTGAAACTCTTTGAAAACAAGAGTTTAGAGGCTCTCTCGGACTGACGTTTCAACAACAAGAAATGCCGGCGCTTTAGAGTTGTTTTGTTTTTACTAAAAGGCTACCGCCCGGTCTACCAATCGGCTCAGAATGGGACTAGTTTAACGTTCTTTACTTAATCAAAGCTCTGCTACAGTCTTTTGAACAGTAAAATCTTTGATACCGCGGCTTCACTACATCATAACACTTCATATGAGCGCCATTCTGGCCAGTATAATTTCGCGGTGGTTTCACAGGAAGTCCCGTAACTATCCCTGACGCCAACGTGTAATTTTGTAGCCGTGTCCAATCATAATCCCAACCGTGTCGTGGCTGTTTTGAGAGTTTTTGCTTCTTGACATCCCTCGTCACTAAAAAGATTTGGATCGCCTGTCTTTCAACGCAGCAAATCGACCACACATCCATTCCCCCACCTCCAGGTTTTCCGTAAGGCCACAGCAAGTAATTTTTGTGGATGACATCCCCGCGCGCATTAATTTTCGCTTGATTTGGGAAGCAAACAAGAACTTTTGTTGCCCTGTGACAGTGGTCAACATGCCGAAAATGGGCAAAGATGTCTGTTGCCATGGTGGAGTGTTGATGGCAGATAAATATAAAGCGAGGAGACAAGACAGGGCTCTGATTTATTGTTTTGTCCTTTACTTCGATGGAGTGATGTATCAATTTTATTCCTTTTATATGTGATGTTCCCACTGAATCATTGAACCATTTGAAATCGTTTATTTTCACCCGTGCCTTCGACACCATTGATCACGGCAGTCTTCTCCGAAGCCTGTCGCACATGGGGATCAGGCTGAACCTCTGGCGGTGTTTGTGTAGCTACTTGAGTGGTCGCGTACAGCGAGTGAAATGGGGGACGAGCATTTCTGAGGCGCGACCGGTGCTCGCAGGTACACCCCAAGGGGGGATTCTCTCTCCAACTCTCTTCATTATTGCCATGAACAGTTTAGATCAGGGAATCCCACCGAGCATCACTCCAGTTAAATATGCTGATGATCTCACGAACTCTGAGTTTTTGATGGCCTCCTTGCCGGGTCTAATGCAGGTGGCACTGGACAAGGTAGACGCCTGGGCAAACTCTTTCTGCATGAGTGCCAATGCAAAAAAGACCAAAGATATGGTCATCAGTTGTCGCCGCAGCCCTGTAGTACCCCCTCCACTTACCTTGAATGGTGAGTCCGTTGAGAGAGTGACCTCCTTCAAGCTCCTTGGAATTGTGGTCAGCAACGACCTGAAGTGGGGACCTCATGTGGAGTACATGCTAGCAAAGGTCCAGCCGCGCATACACTACCTGCGCGTAGCCAGGCGCGCTGCCCTCCCAACGGAAGTGCTACTGCAAATCTACAAGTCCTTCATCCGACCTGTGTTAGAGTATGGGTCCCCCGTATGGGCCGGTCTCCCGCGCTGTCTGTCAGACGAGGTGGAAAGGATCCAGAAGCTGTGCCTCAGGATCTGCGGAGTTCCACACGGTTACTTGCCCACTCTCGAGTCCAGGAGGAGGGAGGCATCACTGAGTGAACTAAAACGAATACTAAAGGATCCTTCACACCCCTGCAATGACTTTATCCCACCAAGAGAGGAAAATGCGTACAATCTCAGGAAGAACTATCACAGCAATCAGTATAAACTCCCACTAAGCAGAACGGACAGACATAAAAACTCATTCATTGTCAGAGCCATCAAAGACCTGTAAATGTGTATTGTATATATATATCATATATGTTGTATTTTAAACTGAAAATGTTACTATTCTTAATGATGTCGATTTTTAAATGATGATGTAGTTTTTAAGCGTGTAAAATGTCAATGTAATTCAGATGTGCCCGAAGTACTTCGGCACGTCTGCCATGTTGATGTTTAATAAAGATTTGATTTGATTTGATTTGATTTTCCAAAGATGTTTCAGTGACAAGCGGATGTTGTAATAGATGGCTGTAAACTTAGCACAATGTAGGTACCATTTCATGTCTAACAAAGTTTATGGTGTCAAAATTTGAAAATGTCGTAATCTCGTTTTTTTTTTGGCCCAGCTTTTTTCACCATGTCGCATTAAATATGAATTCTGCGGAGTATGTCATCCATAAGATCTACTTGCTGTAGCCTAATCAAATTGCTCCTCATGAAAACCTCAGGGGTTGAGTAAAATTGAATCAGAAACACTGTCAGGGCTAAGATGGCAGACGCCCAATACACTGTGACGACCCTTTCGGGATAGAAGAAAAGCTAATCACACTAGCTACTGGAAGAATGACCGCAATTCTTTGATCTGTGTATCTCCTTTGGGGGGGAAACCGATATATATCAAAGTAATAAAGGGCAGCAAGTTTGGGGTTATATTTCTTAACATTTGACGCCATCCACAGTGACTGTTATCGGAGATATACAGCGGCGGTCTTTGTGTTGTTACGACTAATCGGTAACTTTGTTATAAAAAAAGATGATATAGCTTCACTGCACGCGTACGTGATAATCCAATCACATGCTGGTCGATAAAGAAACTTTATGTGATATTTTTTATGGTACTTTCAACACCGACGCAACCTACAAAATTGGAAGGGTAGCCTTTTTTTGCAGTATATTCCAAGGTCAAATTACAGCTTCAGCACTTGCCTAAATGGTTCAAGGAGTTTGATTATTCCCTGCATTCCCTGCACAAAGAAACTTTATGTGATATTTTTTTATGGTACTTTCCACACCAACGCAACCTACAAAATTGGAAGTGTAGCTTTTCTTTTTGCAGTTTAGTCCAATGTCAAATTACAGCTTCAGCACTTTCCTAAATGGTTCAAGGAGTTTGATTATTCCCTGCATTCCCTGCCCAAAGAAACTTTATGTGATATTTTTTATGGTACGTGCAACACCAACGCAACCTACAAAATGAAAGGGTAGCTTTTCTTTTGGCAGTATATTCCAATGTCAAATTACAGCTTCAGCACTTACCTAAATGGTTCAAGGAATTTGATTATTCCCTGCATTCCTTGCACAAAGAAACTTTATGTGATATTTTTATGGTACATGCAACACCGACGCAACCTACAAAATTGGAGGAGAAGCTTTTCTTTTTGCAGTATATTCCAAGGTCAAATTACAGCTTCAGCACTTGCCTAAATGGTTCAAGGAATTTGATTGTTCCCTCCCCACCTATTTCAGTGTCCTGATTTTAAGTACCGGAGGTAAAGTGTGCAGGGCCATACCATAAAAAACGCCCCCACAAAAATATGAATGTACCGTTGGTTTATGGATGTAGAGACATGCATGCGAGTTTTGAAATACATCTTGCTAAGTTTCAGTCTACTTAGTCTATAAGACAATCTTCCTTGTTCGTATTGGTTATCCCCAAAAATACTCCAGACCGATGTGTTACGTACGTCCAAGTTTATTATATTCTAGCACAAATGATAACAAATGGAACTCCAGTACAGCAGTTCAGACAAATGTTCTTCACTACTTTTCTCTATAAATTTTTTTCTCAGTACACTTTTCCGTCATTTGTACGTTACAGGCACTAACCAGTACATCTGCGGTGTCTTAAAGCAGGTCATCAAGCAGACCTAAGCACACAGCACTTACCCTAAGTCATTGAACAAACGATAGAAACGCCAACGAAGGGGTCTATGGGGTAACACCAAACCATATACCGAACAGAAACTTACGTTTTCTATCTTGTACGCTATACTAGTCTTCATTACAACATAAAACATCGAATAGTGACGAATATAACAGAGAAAAACTCAGCCATTAGGAATACCTCACCTACACCAGTGACGTAACGTTATAGTAGTTAATAGTGTGTTTACGGTCACGTGACTATGACGTCATCTAGCGTCCGCCATGTTGGTGGGTTAGACATGCAGTCGCTGTCAGTAAGTCGGCAGATCGTACTGCGCCTAGGTGATATCTTTTCCGACACAACATTTGAAAACTACAGACGGGATCCTTAGATACACGAACACGACCTTAAACGATACAATACGTTCCGCATTCCGCGTTGTACGTTCTGCCGATGTGCTGTCGTCTTCCACCTCAAAATGCCTTTGTCTTATTCTACCCATTTAGAACGCCTCAGCAAACTAAGAGTAATACCATTCTCGGATTCAATCAATCTGGTACGCAAAGTGAACCGGTCGCCATCTTGGATCCAACAGCCCCACCAACATGTCGGCGGTGGCTATCTTATTTACAAGTCATGACGTTAAGTGCAAAAACACTAAAGATACACTGGGTCCTGACCCGGAAAATATACATTGTGATACTGTGCAAAGAACAATCGAACATCACATGCATGAAGAAAAAACGAACCGAAGTATACAATGCACTTCTCTTAGTACACGCTACATGTACTTCAATAATGATCTTAACGTAAGCCAACCGTGTTGCCACCAGCATCAATTCAATTGCGTCCATACGCTTTGGTCACACCACAAATTTCTCTTGCAACGAGCACACCCGTCCCCGCCTGCAAATATAGCAATTTTGACCATGTGCACGTTGTACATTTGTTGGTTTGTACGTGTACGTGTACGTGTACGTGTACGTGTACGTGTGTGTGTGTGTGTGTGTGTGTGTGTGTGTGTGTGTGTGTGTGTGTGTGTGTGTGTGATTTCGTTTTTGCGCGCTCGTATTGTTACAGAATTTATACGTTTTTGTTTGCGAAAAGCAAAATAACCGAAAAAAATTACTCTTGGTCAAATGTATTTTTGTATCGTAGAATCTACAAGCAGACATGTGGCTTTTATATCTTTCTGCGCGTCTGTTTTCTACACATTTCATGGGATGCAACAAGTAGATACTAATAAAATATACAACTTGAATGACGAACACAAAAACGTACAGACACAATGCCATATATCTGCCATATATCTGCTTGGAGATTAGGAAAGACCCACCTTTTCTACACAAGGCGCAATCTTGTTCTGCGTTGGAATTTTCGTCACAGGATTTTCAGACTGTGAGAGAGTTTTTTTAGAGTCTATCGTCCACAAGGATCTATGGCAGCATTTTATTATTCTTTCTTATCCGTCACAAAACGGATTAATTTTGTACGGCAGACCCAAAGGCTGTGCTAAGCATGTCCTCAATTTGCTGTCGCAATCCTGTCGTACGACGTTTGTGCTACAGTCTTTAGTTGATGGTGGTTAGTTGTATCTGCTGTGTGGGAGAGGTCGGGGTCTTGGTGGTCCGTGTGAGACGGCGGGACATGATGAAGGCCTTCTTGCGCATGCTGTCCAGCCCGATGTTCTTCCGCCACGTGGCGATCAGGCCGTGGAACGCCTCGCGGAAGTTGTTGTTGAAGTACCCGTAGACCACCGGGTTGAGCGCGCTGTTCAGGTACGTCAGCCAGTGGGCGATGGGGTAGACGTAGACGAAGATGACGTACTCCTGCGCCTCCGTGATGGTGGCGAACTCCAGCACCATGAAGACGGTCTGCAGGGGCAGCCACAGCACGGCGAACAGGACCACCACCGTCGCCAGCATCTTGATGACGGCCACTTTCCGCGCGGACACCCTCGCTCGCTGCGGGCTGGAGCTCAGGTGGAAGCTTCGCCGGGGCTTCCGGATACGGTAGCCGATACGGACATACAGCACGATCGCCACGATCAGGGGGATGGCGTAACAGATCATGAAGAGGCTACCGAAGTACAATTTTCGGTAGATCTCGTTCAGCCACTTCTCCGTGCAGGTGACCACGTTGTTGCCGTCGGTCAGGTAGTACCAGTTCTCTCGGCGGACCAGACCTTGCGGGATCATGATGGCCAGGGCCAGCACCCACACCACCGCCACCACGCACAGGGTCGAGCACCCCGATAACTTCTTAGACGTGGCGTGGAGCACGGCCTTGTACCTGAGGTGAACAGCACGAGAATACCGGTGTTACCACACGATTTCGAACACTATAGATACGAGTGGTCCCTGCCCAACACTTGTGTTACTAAACAGTTTCGGACACTATAGATCCGGGTGGTACCTATGATCAACACTTGTGCAACCCAACGATTTCTGGCACTACAGATCCGGTGGTCCCTATATCCAACACTTGTGTTACTAAACTGTTTCGGACAATATAGACCCGGGTGGTCTCTATGATCAACATGCGTATGACTATGTACTCTCTAAAGCGTACTTTCTTCGTAACTGGCCCTTGAAACATAACTTTACATGTATTTACTAATTGATTTTCTGAGTTCCGAGATTTAGTTCTATATACTCGTACCTGTCTGCAGCTATGGCGACGAGGGTGAAGAGTGACGCCCCCACAGTCGCGCCTTGGATGACGGGATACAGCTTACACATGGCCTGGCCAAACCGCCAACCTGAGAGGAAGAGACGAACATCAACGGTTTACTGTCAAGGTTTCCAACATCAGATGTCAGCAATGAGAAAAGAGGGCTTTAGTGCAAGGGATTATCATATCTATGAAGGCCCGGATTTGAGAAACTGCCGACTTTTCCTTGGATCCCACGCATATGTCTAAGGGTACAAGAGGGATCACAGGGAGATAACGTACTCGTACAAATGTTCCAGAAATCTTTGCTGATGGTCACGAAAGTGATATGTGTGGTTCTCGTGAAATAACTGGAACTGAAACTTAAGTAGTTTCATGTGCGCTGGCTTTTTTTCCACAATACTGGCACGTGTTTTGATGTCAAATGTCTTATGGGTTTACTTCTTTTGTCGTTTCATTCCCGTGTACTTTTAGCCATTTTGTGCACCTAAGGCTGACATACACTTTGTGGATTTAGGGATTGAGTCTAACGTCAGAATGAATAGAGAAAACCTAGCCATTGGTGGCAAGGTATTCTTGGGGTTGGGGCTGTTGACTCAGAATCTGAAGGTTCTGGGTTCGAATCCCTGGCAGGCCCCAATATCATGTCCTTGGGAAAGGCACTTAACAAGTATTTTCGACCTGCTCGCCCCTTTCGGTTTTTACAGTGGTTCCCACACCGGGAATCGAACCCGAGTTGTCCGCTTGGCGGTCACCAACGCTAACCACTACACTAAAAGGTCGCACGACCATTTAGCATGGTCAGTTAGCAGGATAAACCCCACTGTTACAATCCCACCGCACTTATCGAAAAGAGTAGGGGGCCTTCGCGTGTGAGTGGTCTATATCTTTCAGTCCGGTCTTACGCGGCTTGTACTTACTGTACAAAAGTGGTGCGTTACGTCTATACCGGCTATGCAAAACAGACACACAAATCTTGACAAATCAGCTCGTGGCCAGGAATTCCTGTCATCACCCTTCCAATCAGGCTTAACCCTTTAGTGTCTCCCACTTTCCACGATTACACGTTATCTGATTGAGTTTACGTATACTCAGTAGCGCTGCAGGTAGGTAAAGTTATCAGTCGACACATTGGCGCCAGTTCCTGGCGAGATAGCTGAGAACGAGAAAGTGTTTCCAAAAGTGACCTGTCAACACCGATTCATCACGAACACTTGGAAATCGACTTGCCCTCTTTATGATACTGTCCCTTTTGTGTTTGGTTTCCTGTTGGACAAAGAGGACAGCGATTTGTCACATCTAGAAAAACTTAACTGGCACATACGAGCCACTTAGACCAATCGGCCAACTCGACCTGGAAGGAGTTGTTAACTCAGGAAGCGGCTGGAGAAAGCGATAAGGCTCAGTTCTGGTCGTATTAGAAGATAACGAGTAATGTGTATGCACCGAGTATTGGGAAAACGTGGCGAGATGAGTTCCGCAGACGGCGCGGCTTTGAAAAAAAGGCTTATCGCGCGGTCACGCAGCGGGAAGAACCCTGCGTTATTACGGCTGACGAGACTGATTACCAGGACCTGTAATTGAAGATGGCTACCTGTTCCGTCGTCATCATTGACCTCAGTTTACCTTACGGTCTAGACTTTTGGCGTACGTTTGTTTCTGTTGGACTACGGGTTGACTAAGGGTTCGGTGTAACAAGTGTGATGCAGCTAGCAGCCGCCGCGCCGCCTGCCTGCGAAGCTGGTTTGTTACGCCGAAGGGCGGTTATACCGGCTATACCGATACAGATACAGAACAGGAAGAAAACATGCAGAATTTATATGCAGAACACTAGTAAAGGCATCCAATGCAATTTCAAGGCGGCCAAACCAAAAAATTCTGCATGAGGAAATCTGTCAGTCTGATAATGATACTGACATTTACTGTCATTTCGTACTACATTTTTGTTATCATTTCGTACTTGAAGCGTTTGAAATAGCCCCAAAACAAGCTACGTGAGGAGTCCCTTTATTTTTGAGGTACCACCAATAAATAGCTAGAACCAACCTACGATACGAAACAAACAACCGTTTTCTGTCAGTGACATCGCATTTTTGCCTCACAGATATCAGTATGCTATGGGATAGGATTGTTTCAACTTCAAGCTTAAGCTACTTTAAAACAATGAGCAGAAACTTGACTTTGGAAACCCAGTTTTGCCACCCTGAAATTGCACCGGATGCCTTCACAATTTGCAAGAAAATATGGTACAGTATGAGAGGTTGAAGTCGACTGTAGGCGGAGGGCGTCCTTTGAGGATGTGGAAGCAGATAATCATGACAACCAAACAGTTCATTGAACCCTAAATTATATTAAACGTACATCGCCCTCGGACAGGATGTACGAAGATGTGTCTGACGAAAGGAATTGTCTCCAAGGACATTTTGCATCCGTCCGCTCAAAACCTTTGAGGATGCGGAAGATGGTAATTACGGCAATCAAACAGTCCATTACATCTCAACTTATATAACGTACACCGCGCCCTCTTACTTGGACAGAATGTCAAATGTGTAAAGTGGAAGGAATTGTTTTCAAGGACATTTTCCATAGGCCTGCCCGACACCTTTGAGGATGTGGAAGTAGGTAATTACGGCAATCAAGCGGTCCATTACATCTCAACTTATATAACGTACACCGCGCCCTCTTTCTAAGACAGGTTGTCGGATAGGCTTAGCGGAAGCAATTGTCTACAAGGAAATTTTCCATAGGTCTTTCCGACAGTTTTGAAGATGTGGAAGGGGGTAATTTTGCCAATCAAACAGTTAATTGAACCACACAACTTATATAACGTACACCGCGCCCTCTTTCTAAGACAGGATGTCGGATGTGACTATCGGAAAGAATTGTCTTCAAGGAAATTTTCCATAGGTCTGCCGACACCTTTGAGGATGTGGAAGAAGGTAATTACGGCAATCAAGCGGTCCATTACATCTCAACTTATATAACGTACACCGCGCCCTCTTTCTAAGACAGGTTGTCGGCTAGGTTTAGCGGAAGGAATTGTCTTCAAGGCCAAGGAAATTTTCCATAGGTCTTTCCGACAGTTTTGAAGATGTGGAAGGGGGTAATTTCGCCAATCAAACCGTCTATTGAAGACCACAACCTATACACCGTACACAACGCCCTCTTTACTCAATGTGACTAGCGGAAATAATTGTCTTCAAGGAAATTTTCCATAGGTCTTTCCGACGCTTTTGAAGATGTGGAAGGGGGTAATTTTGCCAATCAAACAGTTAATTGAACCACACAACTTATATAAGGTACACCGCGGTCTCTTTAACTCAGACAGGATGTCGGCTGAGCTGTGACTAGCGGAAAGAATTGTCTTCAAGGAAATTTTCCTCTTCAATGAAATTTTCCATAGGTCTGCACGACACCTTTGAGGATGTGGAAGAAGGTAATTAGGCCAATCACACAGTTCACTGAACCTCGAATTACACCGCGCCCTATTTGTCGGACAGGATGTCGGATGTGTAAAGCGGAAGGATATTCCGGACATTCGTCCACGCGACACCTGATAGATATAGAAGTATAGAATATGATTATGATTAAAACTACTTTCCGACTTCAGAGAGCACGGCCGATGTATAAACAAGGATACTCTAAGCGCCGGTAAAATATATCGATGGTATTGATATGAGATATTCAAGTCATCAAAGATGTTCACGACATCCGTCGATATTGTACATGTCTAGAATGCCAGATAAAGGATCTCATAGTACACATGCCAACTCTAGCCCTCTCAAAAGAACAAGATCTATTCAATGTTTCACCCCATTTTCAGCCCCACCGGCTTCAAGAATGTCGATAGGAGATCATCAAAGATCACACATCCGTTATTGTACAGATTGAAAGGGTCTCATAGCACAGTCGTCACCTCACCTAATTTCATTCGTCCTTTCCCTCTCAAAACAACAAGATCTACTAGTATTCAATGTTTCACCCCATTTTCAGCCGCACCGGCTTCAAGAATGTCGATAGGAGATATTCGAGTCATCAAAGATCACACATCTGTTATTGAATGTACAGACTGAGAGTGGCAGATAAAGGGTCTCATAGCACAGTCGTCACCTCACCTAATTTCATTCGTCCTTGCCCTCTCAAAACAACAAGATCTACTAGTATTCAATGTTTCACCCCGTTTTCAGCCGCACCGGTTAAAAAGAATATTGGTAGGATATATCCAAGCCATAAAAATGCTCAGGACACACATGTACATCCGTTATTGTACAGATTGAGAGTGGTAGATAAAAAATCTGATAGCACACTCGCCAACTCCCAGGGTTTCATTCGTCCTTGCACAATAAATATTTCACCCCATATTCAGTCGTAGTGGTTGAGGACGATATTGGAAGACAATATTCAAGCCATCAAAGATGTTCACAAGTTCGGTCATTGTACATTTTTAGAGTAACATAAAAAAATACCACACTCGTCAACTCCCTGAATTTCATTCGTTCTTGCCCTTTTAAAAGACCAAGGTGCGCATGCAGTCAATATTTCACCCCATTTTCAGCCGTAGTGGTTGAGGGTAATATCGGAAGACAATATTCAAACCATCAAAGAACTTCGGTCATTGTAAATTTGTAGAATAACAGATAAAAAATCTCATAGCACACTCGCCAACTCCCCGAGTTTCATTCGTCCTTGCCCTTTTAAAAGTACATTCACCCCATTTTCAGCTTCCAGTTTCACACTGTGTACGCCACCCAAAGAAACGCGAGCATTTGATTGGCCACTAAGACCTGGATTTTAAACAAATCACCTTGTTCCTGTGTAATGTAGTCCGCGTAGACTTTGATTGACACATGGCTTTTACATTGCCGGTAAATGGATTATCCTGGCATTACCCGGTCGGTACTACAGAATTAGGCCACCTTTAGTTATTATGCATAGCCTACAAGCCCAGAGGATCAACCCATGACCCAGTACATCAAAGAGCAGCTAGGATTTCACCCAATCTGTTCAAAAGGGCATCTACGTATATATACGCTTGCAATTGGTAACGACCTTAGAGTTTTGGGAGCCCATGACATTTCCTGTGTATTA